ACGGCTGAGATTTGGCCACATCATCGTATCTTGCATCAAATTTTGCAAATTGCACACTCGACTTTAAAATTTTGTAACTTTCACATACGAGCTCCGTTTTCGACGTTCTTTATATTCACGCGTAGGCGGGACCGTAATCTACAACTTTCGTTTAGACTCCGTCGGCTAATTTTGACTTTATTTTAAATTTTATATTTTTAACAAGCCGGGACAGGATTGGTCCGTTAATAATCCATAATTTCTTCATCCGACGTCCGTTTCCGTCTGCCTTTTTATCGTTACGCTACTATTAACGAGATCTTCTATTCTCGTTTAGGTTGTGTCGGCTAAAAACCGCTCGATCTAATATTCGAACTTCGGGCTGTACACTGCTAAGCCGAAACTTCGAAAAATCATAACTTCCTCATACGAAGTCAGATTTGGGCGTTCTTTTTATGGACGCTCGTGGTTTATTTTTCTACGACTTTCGTTAAGATCGCTAAGGCTAAAATTCGCTCTATCGTAAATTCACTATTTACGCTTCCAGGTGCCGTGTCGGTTCCGTCGCGAAACTTCGACGAGTCATAACTTCTTCGTTATAACTCGGATTTCGGCATTCTTTATATGTACGGAACCCTTGAGACATATTCTACAACTTGGTTAATATTATTTATTCTAAATAATATTTTGTCGAAAAGTCGTTTTCGACCCCTATTATCTTCAGATTGACTAGCCCGGATCTACGGGCGTTACATATCCTTTCTATTCAAGCAAACTGGGGAGTTGACACCTAATCCCTAATGTGTTTGCACACATCACGTATTCTGCAAAAAATGATGTGTCATAGGTTTTGTTGACGTCGATATTACGTCGGTTTTTATCTTGAATTTCTCGAGAAATCCAACCATAGCTCTACAAATTTTGAAATCTTCTCCTACGAGGGACACAATATCTCGAACATGTGTAGGATCTATTAAAATAAAATACGTGTTAGTTACTACTTGGTTTTTGAGTGCTTTCATACTCATTTGTATTTGAAATCTGATTCTAACTGGTCAGTGAGTTGTGAATGTAAAATAGTATATCATAACAGAAATTGGAATTAAATTATTATTGGCCACATATAAAATTTATGAAGAGTACTTTGCTGTGTTTTTTTATTTGGTAAGGATTGTATTACAACATAAGTAACAACAACCATTCTCGTTTTTAGAAAAAATAAATGTTACAAATATAGAGCTACATTGTTAGTGATTAGGGTTTGGGCGCCTAAACCCTAATCACTAACATACACCTCATCTATCCTAATAAATAAAGATTTTTTTGTCACATGTCATATTCTTATTTATTTTGCCACATGTAATTTTATGGTTATTTTAAATTAATTTTTATTCCACATGTCATTTTTATGGTTTTCTCTATTTTATTAAATTCCACATATTATTATATCTAATAATAAATACATATCAATTTCATTAAAATACTTTCCTTCTAATTTCAAAACTACTAAATTAAAGTTTCATTAATTTTCTTTATTTATCTATCTAAATTATTTGTTTAATTTGAAAAAAAAACACTTTAATTTTTATAATTCATTATTTTTCTTATAAATTCAAACTTCTAAAATATTTTGAAGTTTATATTTAAATTTTCTTTTAAATGAACCCATGTAATACATGGGTCACATACATAATATTTAATATACCTACAAAACGGATTTGTTTATAAATGCTATTATACTCATTATTTTTAGTTTCATTTTCAACGCTCTAAACAATACGAGAAACTAAAAAATAGACATCAATTATGTAACATATATTGGGTTATTTCCGAAGCAAAAATAATGTTGCTATCAATTAAGGGGTCGATGAAGATATAATATTTAAAAAATTGCAAAGGGACAATTGTGTTTGAGAAAAAAAAACATATTAACTGTAATTTTATTCTATCTCTTGATCAAATTACAATATAGAAGACTGAAAGTTTCCTATTCAAGAAAATTGAATGATATTCTGATCGGTATCGGGTACCATACGTTCATGGCTTCAAGTGACTATTCAATTTCGGGTTGGTCCTTTTGGCCCGATTAAACCTTTATCCGGGTAACTTGGACCGAATAAACCGAAACCCGAATTTGACTAAAATAGATACTCAAGAACCGACCCAAATTACTAATCCGGGTCGGTCCGGTCCAGGTTTCAGTTTCGGTTCGGATAATCAGTGTAAAGATGCTTGTTTCACAGTGTAAGGTTTTTTTATTAGCAAAAAAAAAAAAAAAAAAAAAAAAAAAACCTTCTCTATGGAGGAGATGCTTGTTTCGTGGGAAGATCAAAGCACCTCTAAATAACTAAATTACTTTAACTTTAATCCAAAAACCAACCATGAGTCTAATAGGTCCAAAAACATTTTCCATGAGTGAAACAGTCTGAAACTCTTGTTTAACAGTGTAAGGTTTTTTTATTAGCAAAACGATTTTCAGCCCATTCGAGATGTAAATCTTTTCTATTTGAGAGGTTGATCGTGTTGGTTATACGTTTAATAGAATATATTCCTTTTAAAGAAAATAGCAACGCAAATGGTTCTATGGTGTAGTGGTTAGCACTCTGGACTTTGAATCCAGCGACCTGGGTTCGACTCCCGGTAGGACCTCTTTTTAAAAGTCTGCAATATCAGTTTGATAATCTCTAAAAGTTGTTTTGTAGTCGCTGAAAAGTGAAAAGCATCGAGGCACATTTACATCTATTGCCTCATGTATTGCATACTAAGTATTAAATTGGTGGCTAAAGATCACAAACCCTTCATTTTCCTTTTCTTTGAACAGCTATTTTTCCATTCCGCAATTCTTGAATATTTTGCATTTTATTCAGTGTTGTTTTAATATTTCGCAACAAGCAATGTAAAATTATTTCATAAACATGTTATATGATGTATATAATTGAAAATGGGGATTTTATAACATGTATTGAAATACTTATTAATTTCGTAATGTTTGAATAATTTGTTATATCTTGTTCTTGAGGACCCAATCAGAAGACACAGAAAGGGTTTTGTGTTGGGGGGAAAGGGTTTCCACTTTAGATGTCATTTGGGTTCGAACAATCGCTTCAATTTTGTAATTTAGTATGTATCAACTTTTAGTTCGACAAGTTTTCTTGATTCACCTACGTTACTAACCTTGGATTATTTCATTGTTTCCGTTCAATTTATTAGGTTAAATTGAATAGCAATATAGCAGCCCCAATGGGCATCGGTTGTGGGTAAATCAAAGATGTTAATCCGATTTTCATCTGATTTGAGGAAATAAGAAAGTGACGGTGGTGGTTCTTGGTCCGGTGGTGGCAATTTCGTCAGAGGGAGCATCGTCAGTGGTCGACGAGGCCGAACAAATGGGAGGGAGAAGCAGCGATTGTTCGTCAGTCGGCTTCGCAAACCGATGTGGTCTTCTGGTTCGACGGTTTGAAGGGAAGAACGCAATGGGGTAGGGCATCAGCGATGGTCGAATGGGTCCGAAGAGATGGAGAGCGTGAAGAAGCATCGAAGACATTGTGACTGGTTCATTAGGCGTGATAAGAGAGAATATGGTTTCAATTTTTGACCAATTCAATTTCGAGATGAGTTATGTTAGCTTCACATCCGATATTTAAGGGATAAGAATCACATTCGATATTTAAGGGATAAGAATAAACAAACTTGAATTTCGAAATGAATACACATAATCAATCTTATCTTAAATTTAAAAATTCAAAATCTGATCTTTGACTTTTTAGTCAAATGTTGAATTTTAAGTCGTACAAGCCCTTAGGCACTATTTACAATTGTTTTAAGCATTGAGTAATCTTGGATATTGGTTTGGTCAATATTAGAAAAAGTCAAAATAATAATCACGATTTATTGATTAAGTCCCATGTATACTTACCTTTCCTATATTTTTGGTGATCTAATCCACTATAAATTACCAAAGCTTCCTATCCTATAATTCTTGAAACCATAAATCTGTGATCATCCAAAACCCTAATATCTAAAATTCATTCTTTTGCTCGATTACTACAGAAGAAAAATAATCATTGTTCTTTGTGAATTTAATTAGTTGTATGTGTGTGTCTTTTGCGTACATAAGCCGCAACAGGTATGTGTTATTTGTGAATTCACATAATTTTTATGCGTGTTTGTGTTTTTTTGGCCAATACATAAACTTACTATCAATCTATCTAGGATCCTGCAGAAAAAAAAACATAGCATGTATGTTCAATGGTGTTTGTGATTGTGTGTACCTGTGTTTACATACACAATATAACTCTCTCTCTCTCTCTCTCTCTCTCTCTCTCTCTCTCTCTCCCTCTCTCTCTAATACAACAGAATACAAATACATAAATATACAAACTCCTCTCTCTCTTTATCTTTCTTTTCTTTAATGTTGTCTATCTGTTTTTTTAACAGTGATCTATCTCGGTTCCTGCAGAAAAAACAAACATAGCAGGTATGTTAAATGGTGTTTGTGACTGTGTGTGCCTGTGTTTACATACTAACACAATATAATTCTCTCTCTCTCTCTCTCTAATAAGATACAAAACAAATATATATATATATATATATATATATATATATATACAAACTCATTCTCTCTCTTATCTTTAATGGTGTATCTGTGTGTTTTTTTGTGTTAACAAGACCGATATATTCGACATTTTAGCCTTCTTTTTTTCCATGCACTCTCTCCTTCTCGGTTCATGCATAAAACATAAATCTTATTAGGTATTTTCTTTGTGAAATGTAATTAATATACATTCTAACTCTCTTTAATTGAATGATTGTGTTTTTTGTTTACATGTCCAGAAACATATACATAAACAGGTAGCAGACATATTGCCTCTCTTTCTCGGTTCATGCATAACAAATATACTGGGTAATTTTATTTACAATTTTTTCAATATTCATATTTTTCTTTCTAAAAATAGGGTGTTAGGTGAAACACTGGTTTTTTTTCAGGTTTAGGGTTTTTTGCAAGTTATATGTTCAGGGTAATGGATGTTGAGGTTGTTGATGACCAGTTATGTGATATCATTGTGTGTGATATATGTGGAGATGTAGGCTATGAGCACTTACTTGCTATATGTAGTAGATGTATGGATGGCGCCGAACACACATATTGTATGCAGAGCATTAAAGATGAAGTACCTAAAAATAATTGGTTATGTGAAGATTGCAAATTTGGTGATGTTTACGATATTACAAGGGTTCAAGTGGAACCATTCAACAATCAAACCACCAAATCTAAAATGAAAAGAAGTTTTTGAATACACAAACAGAAGATGACAAGCAAATAAAAATTTCAAAATTACCCCTACAAGATGAAGTCATTATACTTTCAAATTAGAAAGTTATGAATGAAGAAGATTGCATGCAAAACGAAATTCCACAACTACCCTTGGAACATGAATACATTATCTATGGAAATGAGAATGCACAAATGAATTGGTGGATGAACTATGGCCAACGGATGATCGTCGACACCAATGGCTCTCTCTTGGGTGAATACAAAAAAATAGATGAAGACCTTTACATCAGTATAATCTAATATAAATTACAAATATAGATTTGGTTATTATTGTGACATACTACTTTATGAAGGTTTAAATTCAAATAATAGTAATGTACTTTGTATTGGTTGATTATTATAGCACCCTACTTTTGTTTTTATCAAAGTACTTCCATTTTATTTATGGGGCTGTTTGGTATTATATTTATATTCATTGGTTTTTATGGTAATAAAGCATATTATTGAAAGTACATTACTATAAAACGGCTTTTCACAAGGCAACATGTGTTTTATAAGAAAATGAAAGTACAATGTTATAAATTGAATACTTTTCAAAGTAATATACTTACATAACAAACAATTGTATTAAAGGGTTGTTTAGTATTAATTGTAAACTCATGGGCTGTTTTGGTAAATAATTATATATTCATTGGCTATTTGATAATATATTTTACCCTAAAAAACAACATATATATAAATATTAATTAATCTTATCCTTTTATTTATCCCAAACTTATACTATTTATCCTTTATTTACTAAAATATTACTATAACCAAAACATTTTAAATTTTCATATTTTTTTTCATCATTACAAACATTATTATTTTTAAACATTCGACCAATGCATCAAATAACATCCTAATATCATAAATTTAATTAAGTTTCTATTTGTTATGGGTAAATTAAAGTAGGTTGTTATTTCTTGGGATAATTCATATATTTTTAATTCGGTTTTCTGGACAGCACATGTTATATAAATACTTTCATTATAAGATTGTACTTTAAACTTTTTCAATGTACAATGTGATTACAAGGAAAATGAATGCTATAATTTAAAATTATATATTTTATATTTAAAATTATATATTTTATATTTAAAATATCCATCTTTTAATTTTATAAATTTTGAAATTCATATATTTAAAAATGGATATTACATAAACAAGAAACAAAATTATTATATTTGACATTATCCAAACAAGTTGTAAAATTCAAATATAAAACTTATATATTCGAATATTAATCTTATCATATTTACTTATCCAAACTAATTATAATATTTAAAATTCAAAATTTAAATAATACATATTTTATCCCTTAATAACAAACAAACTTTATCAGAAAATCATTATATATACCTAAGTACTGCCGCCATATTTCAAACCATAATTCAGTCATATATTCAATAGCCCAATAGCCCAACTATCAAAAAGTATGTTAAACTATTTGTTATTGTTTTGCTTTTCATTTTAAATTTATGTTGAGTTATATTAACTCCTAATATTTTCCTCCTTGGCAGCCATCATGCAGGCCTTTAACATGGATATAGAGACAACAAAACATGAAACTTGTGAAAAACAACTTTCTCTCCTCCTCCAAAAAAAAAACGTGATTTGGCACTTCAATCTTGGAAGTGGAATGAACTGGTGGATCTTGTAAGTTCTGATAATCAACAACAGTTGACTGACGAAGATGTGGATACAGAAGATACAGCTGACTCGATAAAACCATTGAAAACGGCCCGAGTCACAATTCAGAGACGAAACAGATTCTCTAAGCTTAGTCATCTACCGGATGACAAAGATTACCGGTATGTCATGATCATTTCAGTTGTATTTACACATTTATTTCATAATTGAATAAAACTAATTTAGTTTATATTATATATATATATATATATATATATATATAATTTTAATCACTTCATTGCTAAATTGATTATTTCTAAATATGTTCAAATTTTATGTCTATTATTATTATTTTCAAATAACTTTTTGCAGATATGGGTTGGAGTTACATGTAGATGTGAACCATCCAATACATGGTGAAGATGATGCGCCACATCTCACTGAAGATGATGTAGGTGTGATCCAGCCAAATCCGGCTAATAATGATGAATCAGAGCCGGGTGAAGACTGATCCTAGCAAGAAAGATCGTTAATTTTTTTTTTAATAATTTGAATGACTTTTGCTTATAGCAAGTTGAATAGTAGGTATTTTATCTTTATGACTCAGTGGTTTTAGATGCTTTGATATTGAGATTTTATGTTTTTCATGATTATTATTGAATTTTATGGTTTTTTAATCATACTTTTCATACTCTATTTGCTTATTCGTTATTGTTTATCATGGCATCCTGCTTTCATTTCTTATTACAACATTCTAAAATTTCTTTAAATAAATACAATGTCTTATTTAGAAAAATATTGAAAGTTGAATGTTTTATTATAAAGAAATGAAAGTAAGATGCTGTGATTTTTAGGAACCCCATAAGAGATCCACTTTTTAAAATTATAAAAGAAAAAGTAAAATAAACTCAAGTCAAATGTGTTTTAAACAGACAATTCAGTTCGATAACATGACTTTTCCAAATGAAATCTGTTTTTAATAAGGAAACGGAAGTACAAAGTTATTATTTAGGCTTTTCAAAGTAAACATCTTACATACTAAACAACATGTACTAAGGGGCTGTTTAAAACTAATTTTAAACTCAATAGCTGTTTTGAAATATAATTATATATTCATGGGTTGTTTGGTAATATAGTTTACCTTATGGTCTGTTATGGTAAAAAAAATATTGATTTAATAACCTGGTAAATAAATGCGAGAATACAATATTTCAACCTAATAAATAATTCCATAATCATGCATGATAATATATCTTTTTTTTCTTTATTATCATGCATTTTATTTTGAAAAGTTAATTGAAAATCCATTTTAAAAACCTCAGGGCTGTTTTGGTAAATAACTACATATTTATTGGCCCTTGGTATTATTGTTAAAGTCATGGGCTATTATGGTTTCTTATAGCATCTTACTTTCATTTCTTATTACAACATTGTATATTTTTAAAAGTACAATGCCTTATTGAGAAAAAACATTGAAAGTATAATGTCGTAATACATAGAAATTAAAGTATGAAATGCAATTCGAGAAACAAAAACAATATAATGGTAGATACTATTAATACTTACCTATTCCTCTTTATGCAAAATCTCATCAGTCTCTTGGATAAAGCATACCTCCAATGACAAACAAATAATTGAATAAAGTACATGGTTTTTCCAAATGAAATGTGTTTTTAATAAGAAAATAAAAATTCAATGTCATAATTTGAGGACTTTTCAAAGTAAAATGCTTACAAAAGAAACAATATGTATTAGGGTTGTTTGGTATTAACTTTAAACTCGGGGACTGTTTTGGTAAATAATATATTCATGAGCTGTTATAAAAATTATCTTTTTTTCAAACTAACCATCAACATTATCCTAATTTTAAATTTTAAAACATAATCCTAAAACTTTCTACATTATCAATTCTAACTACATTTTTAAATTCAAAATTTAACAAATGGATAAAATCATTTTTATCTTATCCCTCCAAAACCATGACATATTCCGCTAAAAGCCACATTTACTTTTCATTCGCATCAATAAGCGTGATGTGGATAAAACAATGACAAACATGACATTTAGAGTATACACTTTTTGTGTGAATGGAGGAATATATCATTGAATCGATCGGTTAATCCCATGCGATGGAAAACCTCGGTACTTAAAATTGTATTTTTACGATGCTGATTATGAGATGTCACATAGACTCAAATGGAAGAATATTGATAAACAAATTGCTCAAAAGTTGATCCGTGTTCTTGCCACAAACCTATACGTGCAAATATTTCGAAGACTTGCCGATGTGGGGCCGCTTGACAATTACAGAGTCACTTTGAATGCATGAGTAGAATTTGACCAAAAGGTATACAAAAGACCGACCACATCCGAGGTACCATAAAAATTATTGTCTACAAATTATAAAAAAAAATATATCATGTATGACATACAACTGTGTATATTATACACCATATATAATCATATCGTTTCCATAATAAAAATTCCAGGTTGTTGGTATTTGGATTGAAGGTAACAAAAACATAGCCGCATATAAACGAAGTATTATCGTGTATGACAGATCCGAAAAACCACGAACAATTCAATCTTACTGGGGATGTTATGATGCATTGCCTTATACTTTATTTTTTCCTAATGGTGAGTCTGGATGGCATTCTAATATCCCAAGACATGGATTTCCCATTAATAATATTATTAACGACAACGAAGACATCCAGGATGATTTAGAAGGTACACATATCATAAATTTTTAAATTTTAGTTTAATTAACAAAGATTACATGTTTGTACAAATCATTAATTTTTTTTTGTTCACGACATCAACATTGTGTGGACTCTAATACAAAAGGAGGGCGGAATTTTGTAAGTATGCGGGAGTACTATTGCTATAAGTTTCAAATCCGGTCAAATTATAATGTAATTTTGTTGGGAAGAAGATTACTACAACAGTTTGTAGTAGATATCTACATCAAGATTGAGACTTCACATTTGGAGTTTTGTAGAAAAAACGAGTCCAAAATAAGATTTTCAACGAGACTACTTATATACCTCGCATTAAGTTGACCCATCCGATAAAAAAAATTTCATTCCGTTTTTAGCATAGGCAATTCCCAATAGCAGCTTGTTTCGCTATGACCATTAACAAAAGTGAAAACAATAATTATCAAATGTTAGATTATACTTGCGTAGACCTGTCTTCACTCATGGTCAGTTATATGTAGTTGTTTCTCGTGTAACAAACAAAAAAAATTTGAATGTACTCATATGTGACGAGGAAGGTCGTTTAGCTAATAAAACAAAAAACGTTGTCTACAAAGAGGTCTTGCAACGTTTATAGATATTTATCGATTTCAATGTTTCTTCTTCACATTTCAATAATAACAATAGCCATAAACTTTCTTTTATAATTATTATGCAATATATATAAATGTTTTTATATTTTTTTAATACGGCGGGTTATAATCTAGTTGTTTATAATGTTATCAAAACTTGCTAAAACCGAGCAATATTGAATTGCTGGGTTGTTCCTGATTGTAACATAGTAGCCTTATGCACATTCAAATATGAAAACCAATTGCAATTGGTTTAGTTAGTGGGATTTGAGCATAAGTGATAAAAAATGGAGTTTAATCATTATTGTTTTCAAAGTGGATTAGAGAAGTTCATTTTAGTTATATATGATACATATTATTTCTCTATAAAACAATATTAATTCAAGAATATGTTCTTGATTATACTAAAAATAGTATGACATTTGGTATTTTGGTACATATCTTTGAAGATGGCCTAAATGATTAAAACAGTAAATAAAAAAAATTATATTTTACAAAATACCGGAGAATTGTATCCAGTTTCCGGTGTGCTCCTCGAAACTCACTCAGTCCATCACAAGCGGCCCACCATCTGGAACCACTACATTGCTCGAATTGGATGCCCTCATCGGTCCCACCGCCGCACCACCACCGCCGACGCCCACGCCACGTAAACGTCCCTTAATCCTCCGCAGCTCCGCCACCACTTCCTTAGCATCCGGCCTATCATCCTTATCCGCCGCTACACACCGAAACGATAGCTCCGCCAGTGCCGCCACACCACCACCATCCACCGTAGCTAACCTGGGATCAATCACCTCCCCCAACAACCCCATCTGTATTTTCGCCACCGCCATGTCAGCTAACGCCATTTCCCTCTTATCCCTCCTTCCATCCACCGCTCTCATTCCGGTGACAAGTTCCAGAAGAACAACCCCAAAACTGTAAATATCACTCTTCTCCGTCAACCGGAACGACCGATAGTAATCCGGATCCAAGTAACCGGGAGTTCCTTGAGGACCAGTCCACACACAACCCGGATCCAACAACCTTGATAACCCGAAATCCCCAACTCGAACACGCATATCTTTGTCCACGAATATGTTGTTCGACGTAATGTCTCTATGAACAATCGGTGGAACCACCGAAAAGTGTAGATACTCGATCGCTGTTGCGATTTGTAACGCGATGTCAATTCGTACTTGCCAAGTTAAACACCGTTTCTTGTGTACGTGTAAATGATCGGAGAGAGTTCCATTAGGAACATACTCATAAACCAACAGTAACCCTCTCGGATCGCTACAATACCCATGAAGTTTGACTAAATTTGGGTGGTTTAGAGAAGATAAAATCAAGATTTCATTACAGAATGATTTTGTTGAAAATGAATTTGATGTAGGATTATGCTTGTGTAGATACTTGATTGCGTGAATTCGATTTTCTCGAAGGTGACCCACGTAGACAGACCCGAAACCCCCGTCTCCGATTTTCCTCTGCGGGTCAAAGTTGTTTGTTGACGATTGAAGTTCCTCGAAGGTGTAAACCGGCGGAAGTAGGCTGGCGGAGCGGTGGCGGTGAAGGTAAACAACTGCCGGATCTTCTAAAGGCGAGTTCTTTCTTCTCCGAGAAACGTATGTGCTTATCAAGATAAACATAAGAAAACAAAGAAACAGTATAGCTAAAGTCATCATCACTACACGTAATTTGGGTTTTTCCTTCGCCGGCGACACTTTTCGAGATTTTGAGAGCGATTCAAAGCATAAAAATGCTTTCTTTGGATCAGATGAATTGAACCCGCAAACGCCATTGTTGGATTCACAAGCTCCACAGCTTGAAAAGTAAGAATCTTTCTCCTCCCACTCAACTTCAATCCCAAATTTCAAGAAGCTATCCAGAAACCCTAAAATGTCAGCTTGGCAACCTTCTGTAGAGAGCTGTGGAGGGTGAATAGATCCACAAGAATGTATAATCTGAAGTGGGTTTTTGGTAATTTTACACTCCCACGGACAATGGCTACAGTTTGGGAGGTTTGGTGGGAGGCAAGGGCGGAGGTAGGAGAGACGAGAGCAGAAAGAGTCGGTGGGTTGAAAAGGGCAATTCGAAAGGTTAATGGGTCGATTTGGGATGGTGGAGAGAGAGTGTGTGGTGCTGCAATTGGCAACGGTGGTGGGGTGGAGAGAGAGCGAGAGGGAAGTGGTGGTGGGGTCGTAGTGGATGACAGAGAATCGGTGGTTGTTGATGGATATAGTAGCCGGGAGCGGCGGAGGAGAACACTGGATTTGAAAAGAAGGGTGGCCGCAGCCGGGGGAATGGGAGAAAGGGAACGGTGGAGGAGTGGTGGTGAAGGGGGAACAGGGAGGAGAACTTCCACAGGTATGACCGGAAACGGTGGTGAAAATGAAGACGAGATGTGTTATTAGGCGGAGGAGCGGCGGTGGTGGTTGGGGCATTATTGGCGGAGATCTGAAAATATCTTTGAAGTTGAATCTAGCTTGAAGTTGATGAATTCATGGTTTTTAGGAAGCTATAATCTTGGAGCGGATGTGTGTCTCGAGGGTAAGAGGGGGGGAAAGAGATCACGTGAAGAAGGGGAATGAATGAAGACAAAGACCCACAAAAGGTGGTCAGTGTGGACTGTGTAAAACAGGAAAAAGGAAAAGGGTAGAATTCATGTAGATTTTCTTTAAAGAGTGATCCAAAATATTGAACAAGGTAAAAGATTTGAATACAAAGAGTGATCTAAAATATTGTTTTTTATACAATTTAAAAATATATTTTTTGAACGATTTAGGATTCAATCTTAGATGAATTTTATTTTAAATTGTTTGATGACAATTTGATATTACTAGCACATTGTTATTTGGAAGGCTAACTCTATTCAAGACTTCAAGAGACAAAACAACAAAACCTGTTTATCTCCACCAAGGCATAACCATATAATGTAACAAATCTTCAATCATGTATAAATTTTTTTATTTAATTTATCGAAAATAATTATTAATCTAAAAAGTTAGAACACATTTGGATATGAAATAACTGAAACATAGACGAATAATGTTAGTTGCAATGAATAAATGGGTAGTCCATCATACGTTGATAATTAATAATTTATTGTGTATGGTGCATTATTGCTTCAAATAAGTATGGCCCATTCACATTGGTTCTTTCGATTTCAAAGTTCAAAAAAAAAAAAAAAGTATATCTTTACACTTTTGGAAATATATTCGATATGTGATCGTTAAGATCAATTATTTTGCTTACGTATACCTTAAAAATAAAAGTAGGCCAGCTAATGTTTCATGTGTTTGAGTTCGAGTATTTATATCATACTTATTATCTTTTGAGATATACGACCTGTTGGAAAATATAGACGATAATGAAAAATTGGAAGGTACTCTTAAAGCGCTGTAGATATATTTTTGAAGACGGTAGTTGGAAACATCAATCCAAAATGTTCTCTTATTCATATTCTTTTTGGGAAAATGAAGTAAAAAGTAACTAAGTTTTCAAAACGTTTAAAAAAAACATCAGTGTTTTTTTAATGTAAAATATATCATTAAAATATATTATTTGCACCCAGAATACCAATAAAATACACGTGTTTAAATAAAACTTCATTGTAACTGGTTATTTCATGTAAATAGAAAAATGATTTAAAATGATAAAGAAGTTTCCAAAATATTTAAAAAATATCATTGTTTTTTTAGAATAAAAAATATCATTGAAGTATATCATTTGTATACATAATATCAACAAAGCACACACATTTATTACAAAAAATATCATTGAAGTTTCCAAAATGTTCAACAAATATTATTGTTGTTTTTCAGAGCACTTTTTGTTAACTTCATTGTTGTCGGATTATATAGAACACAGTCATCGGAGATCATGCACCATTATATCAGTCCACAACAGTTGTGCACTCTTTCAATCATGCACTCAATCGTTCTTGCGGTAACATGAGAAGTAAGTGGATAATAACCTTAGTTAAACGTTCTTGCTTCCAGATCGCATTATATGCCTCAAACATAAAACATATATACTATTAGGGTTTTTAGGTTACAATCAATTTGTACATTCGAAATTTCACTTAACTCTTACAACATACTTGGTTACCCTTTCGGAGATTAAAAAATTTACTAAAATGACTAATTTGCCACGTGACATTTGAGGGAGGCGATGCCATGCAACGTGAGCTTCAAACAGGGCAATATTTGGACTAGTATCACTGTTAATTTATGGATATATACATTAAAGACCCAATATTTTCAACAATTTGACAAGAAAGTCATAAACTTTATTTTTTTGACAGTAAAGTCCTAACTACCTGTAGTTTTTGACGCGCTTACCATTTTTTTGCCGGTAATTAGGACTTTTGTAACATCCCAATTTCCAGGAATGAGATTTTAGGGATTTTCATGCAATTAAGGAAGCCTGCTCGACGAGTTGGAGGCCCCCACTCGTCGTGTAGAAACTATTCAGTCGCGTAAATTTTAGAACCTACTCGACGAGTTGGAGGACCCAACTCGACGAGTTGAATCTGGATATAAAAACCCTAAGTTTTAGGGTTTGCACCTTATTTAAAGGACCTTAACTCCTTTTCCCCAACCACCATTGCCACCTTTGACATCCAGAAGCAAACCCTAATAGATCTAACCCTGTTCTTGAGTGTGTGTGTGTGAGGCTAAGTGTGTATTTTGGTGCATTCCTTGAAGAGGATTGAAGATTTAGAGGTTTGGAACGAGAAGAAGCTTGTAGATCCAGTATCTACATCGTGTTGGCATCTAGTAGAAGGTAAAAAGTCTTTACCTTGGCTTTCCATTTCCTAAATCTCTTTGTATGTTAGTTTATGGGCATTTTGGTGCAAAAGGGGGTCATGCTCGGGTTTGAGCTTGTCATGAGAATGTGGTTTCAGATCTGGACTCCCCTAGACTCTCATGAACATAAAGTTCTCGACTTTATCTACCCCTAGCCCTTTTCCATGTCCAAAACCTTCTTATACGACTAGTTTTGAGTGTTTTAGCTTCTTGAAGCCTTGCATGCACGTAAAGTTAGCAACTTTACGTGATAACTACACCTTAGGAGCCTAGATCTACAGTTTGGAGTTTTGGTTTCGCTTAAAAGCGTCTGAATGAGAAATGGACTGAAGGAACTCGACGAGTTGCATAGTCAACTCGACGAGTTGGATGAGGGTTTCCCGCTTTTTGGATTCTACATGAACTCGGCGAGTTAGAGAGGTAACTCGACGAGTTGATTAGGGTTTTCCCGACATTCTGGACATTGCATGGGGTCGACGAGTTGTCCGGAAACTCGGTGAGTCGACTGGGGTTTTCGCGATTTCTTGAGTTCTGAAGGGACTCGACGAGTCAGTAAGCTACACTCGATGAGTTGGGTCAACATGGACTGTTGACCTTGACCGTTGACTTTAACTTTGACCAATAGTTGACCAGCTTGACTTCTAGGGGTATTTTAGTAATTTGGAAATTTATGGAAGTGGATCATTGGTGGATGTAGGTGTTTGAGTTTGGAGCTGTATTTGGGGAGTTTGACATTATCATCCCGAGCTACTTGTGAGGTGAGTTCTTCTCACTATATCAACAGGGTCTAAGGCATCAAGGTCGGCCTTTATGATTTGTATCCTGGTTATAGGATGATGTTATGTTAGATCTGTATCCTGGTTATAGGATGATGCTATGTTAGTGATCTGTTAGATCTATATCATGGTTATAGGATGATGTTATGTTAGTGACCGGTTAGGTCGGTATCATGGTATGTAGGTATATATTGATGTTATGATTAGCGATCTGTTAGATCGGTTTGACTGTTTGTATATGCTAGCATTTTTTTATCTATGTGTTGATTTTATGATTGGGGGTGGGTTGAGGCGGACCTGCTTTGTGCTGTAGGCCAACATACCCAGGGTGGCCCGTATAGACTGTAGGCCATGGGGGCATATCAGTCAGGCCGAAGGCCCGGAGAACTGTCCAGACAGGCTGAAGGCCCAGTAGGGCAGGCCAGACATGCTGAAGGTTCTGAGAGTGGGCCAGATAGATTGAAGGCCCGGTGAGGGCGGTCCAGTCATACCGCAGACTCTATATGCATGTTGTTTGTATGATATTGCTATGGTTTGTATGACGTTGGTATTTTGGGGGAACTCACTAAGCTTCGGGCTTACAGTTGTTGATTTTGTTTTAGGTACTTCAGGTGATCGCGGGAAGGCGAATGCGTGATCGTGCACCTCCTCACATTTTATGATTTTGATTTCTGAGAAACTCTGACATGAAACTATTTTGAAAACACCTTGTAATAATTAATGGTTTTAATTGGTTGAAAAAGTTTTAAATTGGCTTGAATTCTTTTGGATGTTACAACTTTAGTGTAAAAAAAATAAAGTTTTCGGCTTTTTGTCAAATCGTGAATTAGGATTTAACTGTTAAAAAAAATAAAGTTTAGGACTTTCTTGTCAAATCGATGAAAATATTGGAACTTTAATTTTTGTTAGAAATTTAATAGTATGATAGTCTTTAAGCATAAGAGTCATTTGAACCTGCTTTGGTCAGCTAAATCCTGTTGAAATCTTTAACGTTTGTTTTTTGTTAAATTGTTTTTTTTTTAATCTCAACAAACCTGCATTGAAAAAAATGGAGATAATCAAGAAAGAAATAAAGAACTTGGGTTGTGTTGGCTTTTTGTAGTCCTGAAATAGAGAACTAAGAAACTGGAAAAGACGAAACTGTCATTCTTACACATTCTCCACATTATCGCCCTTTTGACTTGACGTGTGTTGTTTGTGTTTTTAAGAAAAACTGTGGTGCTGCGACAAAAATCACAATTAAAAGTTACTAGGCTATGAATTAGGTTTCACGACACTGATAAAATTATTTGTTTCTAGGGAAACCAAGACTATACAATAAAGTCCCAATATTTTCAACGATTTGACAAGAAAGTCCTAAACTTTATTTTTTTGACAGTAAAGTCCTGGTTACCGGCTAACCGGAAAAAAAAGGTAATCGTGTCAAAAATCACCGGTAATTAGGACTTTACTGTCAAAAAAATATAGTTTAAGACTTTCTTGTCAAATCGTTGAAAAATATTGAGACTTTAGCATATATATTCCGTTAAATTAACTTTAACATTGAGATTTATTAATGATTTTTAATCTGCCTGGGTCACTATTGCAAACACACACTGACTTTCACAGTTTCACAGAAAAAAATCGTTTTTCCTTCATAATATCAAAAAAGTCATATACAAGTTGACTTTTATGAAATGAATAAGCAAACACGTAAGTTTTTTTTAGATAAAATGCCTTAACGGGTGTTTTGATTTTTTGATTAGATCATAAGGGGTACTTTCGTCATAATAAAAGTGCTTTGCAAAAAAAAACACCAATAGAAAGGTTTACAGTTATGACAATAACAACCATTTTTAAATTAAATGCCTTTTTTAA